AAATTTCTTGTTTACAAAAGAATAGTCTGGGATAGCTGATTGGATATCAGTAAAATGGTTTGATGTATTTAAGGTTTAGGAGTTGATGTAATAGAGTTGGGTCATGTTTGTATGTTTGTGTGTCTCCTTCATGTCTCCTAGAGGTATGGAGCATTTGTGAGTTTTATACTGATGTCCAGCCCTGATCATGTCAGTTGTACTGCTCATATGTTTATTTTATTCCACCTGGAAGTGTGAATGAATAAATACCAGATTAAAATCCGTGTGTTTTGTTATTTTTTTTATATGATGTTATAGAATTCACATAGAAAAATCAAATTATACATTTCACTTAACATAGGTGATATCACAAAATCATGATTCTAAGCTCACATTTCAAGAATAGTGTAATAATGTCATGCACATTTGTAAATCCATCCTGTCACATTGTATCACATCATGTCTCATTCGATTCCAAATTAACGTCATGACTTGAGAACCGCTTAACAGATTGGGTTCGTACCCTCATCATATCATGATGTCATATCAAGTTCTACATTTTATCATAACAAAATGGTCATCAATTAAAGGGTCAAAGGTCACATTTTACATCTTCTGTAAATTCATCAAACATTGATACATTTGTGGGCATTCAGGTCTTGTAAACATTTTCTAGTTTATAAAGTTTTTTTTCCAAGCTTGTGTAAGTGTTGCTTTGTGTGGAGATGGTATTGTAGTTGTGTAGAATACAGCAGATTGACCTTAACTGAAGACCTCCAGAGGAGTGCTGACTGATGCTGATGTTCGAAGCCACAGGAAGGACAGTCCCCAGAGACAACACTTATGGTACCGGTTAAAGAGTTCAGAAGCACCTGATCAGTCTCGTATCCTAACAGCATTATTTATATACATGTATGTAGATTCAGCAATCAAAAGCTTTCAAATGTACTGGTTTTGCACTACAACATGAAGAACTTTATTTAGATATCTGAATGCACATCAGCTTCATCAGTGTCTTCATCTCTGTTGATATTGCACTGTAAACTATAAGACAACAGACTAGTGTATTAGTGAAACAAAATGAATGGTGTTGTTGTGTTACACCATATTTATTGTATTTGGTTTCAGTATCGAGGTCGATATAAAAAGTGACAATATAGTAATGAAGAGTAATGAAGGATAGATTAAAACCAGCTGTAAAAGTCATTATCAAAGCTGTGTACCTACTCCATGATGAAACATAGTAACAGTTACTAACAATACCTATATAAACTTTAACGATCAATTGTTACAACAAATGTATAAATCACAACAAATATTACAGTTAAGCTTTCAGTACAAACTCTGATTGTTTTTTACTCCTCATCCTTACTTGGTTCCTTAAGTACAGATTATGTGATGGATTAATGAAAAGACTGAGGATTTGCTGATCCCTAGATTAGAGACTTGCTGTGATAGGGAGATAAACTAATGGGTGATGGGTAGGTGCTTGTTGGTAACCATGGTGAACTTGTTACTAATATCCACTTTATATCCACTTTAACACCAAAGATTATTGACACAGTGTATAAAGACATACCTCAGGGATGATTTGTAAATCAGTTGTTTTTCGCTCATTTGAAACCTTTTCTCTTTTTTTTCTCAGTAATGCAATAAAGACAGTTCTGTTACTTTCCTCATCAGAAAGTAATATTATTTGGGGGTGGTATGTAAATTTTTATAGAGAACAAATTAGTTGTATAAATGAGGGAATGTTATATTGCAATCAGGACAAATGTCTTGTTCCTTGTTGATTTCTGAAATATTTTTTCATTTTGGACATTAAATATTTGAGCCTTATTTTTTTTAATATCTGCAATTTTGTTAGAGGTATACCACTTGCATTATCTTATTGACCTTTGACCAGACATACACAGAGGCCCACTGACTGATTATGATTGGTTTAACTTGGGATTGTGGCCATTTATTGACAGACTTCTGATCCTTTTTTCCTTCCTCATGAGCCTTGAAAAAGCTTTAGATACCCGTATCACATGTGCAGGTGATAGCTGTTAAAAAACAAATGCTGAAATCTCGGTACTTCTATTGTGGCCTGAGAGGGCTAACAGGAAGGGACAAAGCTACCAATCCTGGTAGGATAAAGAGAATTCCGAAGAAGGCATGCTTGAAATAGGGGTCAAGAGGACCAACAAAAAAATCCTCTGATCTTGCTTTTTATATCTGGTAAAATTAGGGATCCAGGAGAAGCTTGCCCACAATATCAGTATGATAGTTATGGGGAACCACAGGTATGTCAATCCTGCTTTTGATTTCAGTATAATTAGCGAGTACTGAGAAAAAATCCTTATTTATCATAAAGTCAGTGACCACAAGGAGTATTCACTTTTGATCTTATTATATATGATAAACTTAGGAAGGACCCTTTGTAGCCTTATTCATTAGGACAAAGACTTCAGCAATGGATTTGTTAACCCTTTCCTGGTCTCATATATGGGAATGGAGAGGAGAGGGCAAATCCAGGGACACACTTCTTCTCCTATAATCTATGTATGAGAGACAGAGGGATCCTCAGAAGGATTTAACTTGACCTAACATATAGAAGCCACAGATGACTACAGGTATGGGTCTGTCCACCTCTCAGGACTTGGGTGTGTAGGGGACTATAGGAATTGACCCAGATATGTCCTTCTTTCATATAAAAAGGCAGACTTCAGATAAGAATTTGCTACCTGTCCTAATTCTATTTGAACTAGTACATCAAAGACTACAGGTATGGATCTTACTACCAACTCTACTTTCATATAAGAAAGCCAAGAACTTCAGGTCTGGGTACCTGTCCTCCTCTCATAAATTGGTGGCCAGCTTGAGACCCAGATCTTAAATGAGGGTCCAAAGATTGTATACATTTGTAATGCCTTTCCAAATATTTCAGTTTGTTAAAAAAAAAAACCAAAATGGTAAAATATGTATTTTGAATTGTTTTTTTATTGTGTTGTTGTTTCTAAAAAAATAATAGATTGGTAATGGCTGTCCATACATTTCAATTAGTTTGAAAACCAAAATAGTACAACATGTATTTAAAATTGTTCGTATTGTGTTGTTCTAATCATTATCACAACATTCTTATTAGATGCTAACACAGGATGTGTATTGTGTACAGGTAACAATTTTTATTCTACAAGTTTCATTTCACTTCTGCGACTGTTTTATTTGCATGTCATTATCCCACTCCTTGTGTTATATCAGATTTTTAATATGATGCTTACACAACTATACATCTGTCTATAAATTATCTCTATAAACATGGTCACTTGGTTTCTGTTTAAAAACACCACTTCATTTTAATTTTGTTGAGTAATTTCAAATCATTATGAATTAAAGTCATTTGAAATGTGCAAAATTATTAACATGCACTAGTTGATTCATTTCCAACACCAGCTGCAGATAAAGTCTCACTGTAAAACATTCTGAAAGCATGCGTGTGATGGTTGTGTGATTCCCTTGGTGATTTCTAGTCTTGGTTTGGCTCTAATGTTTTAATCATTTCCAATCAAATGTCATTCTCCCTGTACCTGCATGTATTTTGTATGTGACTTACAATATGGTTTAATATTACCAGGAAACATTTAACCTTAACAATTGTACATTAAAAGATGTGTGAAAAAAAGTCATGATCGAGTGGTTTGAGTTCATCACATGTTCGAATCAGTGATATCACAGATTCAGTCTGGTTCCTAAATTAATGCATCTTTTATGAGACTTCAAAGAAATTAAGCAATTTCCAAATTTCATTGGAAATATTTCTTTTTTTAACTGTATCAACATTTTATCGAATATATCCAGGAGTTGTCATGGAGTCTGTATTCAGAAATGGGTAGCAGTTCAAATACTGGAAATATGTACAAGTATAAATAATGAGATAATACGGTAATATCACTGATTTGAATGTCATGTGTTGTGTGAAGGTTGATCTGTCACTGTTAACTTGTGACAATATCAGTGTCATTTATATTAGGTGAAGTGTGGTATCTCTACACTAGATTATTATTATTGAATGAGAAGATAATTTACAAAGAGGGTAACTAAATAAAAAAAACGACAATATCATGTCAGTTACTGAATTATCATTGACTTTAGTGCATTTGTACTTGGTTTTACTTTACTTGGCTGTGAGGATTGTAAGAGCTTGGCTCATGACAAAGTGTCTTAAAAATTAAATCTCAAAGTTTTTCCATTAAAGATCACAGAATTTCAACCAAACTTCATCTTAAAATTTGAAGAATGTCGTGTCATAGACGAACACTTTCATGATACCAGAATTGGGCCATTAATTATTCTCATACCCAAATAGGGACTTGCATGTTGTAGAAATTACCTAGATAGACCTTTACCAGACATTAAAAAAAGGTTAAAAGTCTGCATGGAATTGAGATTCCCATGAATTTTCTACAAATACATGTGTTTGGTACGAAAAAGCCAACACATTTATTTTGAACCAAGCTGAACATTTAACTGAATGGTTGCATAGGGCTCCATTTGGGACTGAAGGGCCCTAAAATTAGAGGATTAAAGATATATGTCTAGAGCTATCTCATCCTGACCAGCTCATTGTGTTTAGAATATAGCTTTAATAACCATGTTGATATTGTTATTGAAAAACAAATATCTAATGGTACATCTTATTTGTACACATACAGTGATAAATATAGCCCTTAATTTCTGTCTGTGCATTTTGTTTTTCATCACTGCAGCATGTTTAGTTTTAAGATGTTAATTATGCAAAAATAATTTCGTAAACTTTAATTGAAAGTATTTTTAATATAAAAAATGTGTCAATTAACCATGTTTTATTTTTCAAATAAAATATTGTAATGTGTCTTGATCATGGGTAGATCTTCGGCTCCCATCACATCCTGATCAACTGTCTGCCTAAACATACTTTGAGATTACCAGTCAATTGATCGGTGGTATGTCAAACACTAGTGCTGTTTATCTGACCTTGGCTTTGATATCTTCCACAGGGAAAGTGACCAAGAACAAAGCAATGACAACTATATCCATACAGAATCGGCCATTACACACTTCTGACTCCATCCACCTTGAGCTTTCAACATCATTCAAGTCACAAGAGTGTCATTGGGGTTATATGACTTGTCCTCGGATATTTATCCTTGTACAGCACTTTGTAATGTTCCAACATGGATACGAATATCATCTGTAATGTAACCTTTGACCTAGATATGACTGTTTGACCTTGAATGTCGTTTATTTCTCGTCACACTAACCTTTATTATTAATGTGTTGTACAACAATTCACCATAATTTATATAAAATTCAATAATCTGGTTGTTGAATGCAATATATTGTATATCAAATATTCTATTTCATTACCACATAGGCATCATGTCAACCTGACTGTCCATATCAGTAATCATTAGTATTGTACAGTATACATGTACTACAAAAAATACTATGAAAATGACCTTAATGGAGTAGTTTCAATATATATTGATCATGCCATTCAGCTGCTAAAACGAAGAATCCTCCCTCTCAACAAAGAACAGCATTGTAAGGTCATTTCAGATTTACTGGCATCCAGGCAATAGTAATGTGAAAAATAGGTTGTGGTCTTGAGCCTCAATTTGTACTCTTGAGCCTTGTTTTGTACTCATAAAATTCAGATTTAAGATTTCAATTATTGTATTACTGATTATGTATTAGCTAATGTAACATTTTTACAAAACATTGCATGTCCATTCTAGATCAATTATGTTTTCCACCAGTAATTAAGTTTAAAGCCTGGACCTAAAATCCAGCAAGTGTTTTCCTCCAGGATGTTTTATTTTTTTATAATGATGATGGGACACTAAATGGGAAGGTAAATTGTCCTTTTTACAATAACATGATATTGAAGTACCATGCCATGAAGATATTGTGTGATCAAAATGACCAGTGTTGTGTTCACTTTTCAATCCTTCAATGATGACAGTTCATACCAAGAGAATGACGGATCCCGCAGATGACTCATTTATACATTTAACAGTTTGTCATAATTGTCATCACCAAATTAAAGTTCACCATTACAGGTCATTTTGGTCCATTTAAAGGTCTGCAATATTGACTTTTGCAACTTGGTAGATTTCAGTCCTGCTGTTTGTACTGATCCCCTGTGGTATATAGATTTGTAAATAGCAAAGATGCTTTGAACTCCCATGATATAGTAAGGATGGGCTGCTGTGCAATGGATTGCTATTATTTATGTTTCTAATTGCATGTGTACTAAAAACAGTATTTTCTTTCCCATTAATCATGTATACATGCCCCCCCCCCCAATTATTTACTCATCACCAAAGTTGTTTATACAAGATATTGAATTCAAAAATTGACAACTCATTTGTAGATTCATACTGAAATCACATTCTTTAGATACCATTAATTCTCATTACTTTTATATCAACCAGTGAAATAGATATTATTGGTTGTTCAAGTTTACATGCAATATAAACAAGCTATTCTGTAGATTAAAAATGATTAACAGTAGACTTTCTAGTTAACTTCTTTTATCATGCGTCTTTAGGATTAAAAATATTCCTGTGGTTTAAGAAAATTGTATGGAACATCTAATAAAATTTATTTTTTACCGCAACTCGTGTTTTCTTTTTTTGTATAATCTACCAGTAAACAGAATACAGTTCACTCTTGTTTATTTTACAGGTGTTTGTTTTGATATAATCTGAGCAGATCTTGTAGGCTACATTCACATAACCTGGTCAAAATGGTTCTAGTGGTCTGCAATTATTGCACTATACAAAACGCACATGTACCCTACGTTCGACTGGATATATGTAAAGCTCCAAATGCAGTTTCCGAATTAATCCATTAACTTAAATTTAGATCCCATCCATTTCACTCGTGCTTCGCTCCCAACCCTAATTTTTATGTTGAAATTCTGAAAACTGATGATATTCAACAAGTTAGCTTCTGAAATGTACAGCTGGATCCCTAAAATTGCACATGCCAAATATTCTACGTTCCAGCCTCGGTCCCGATATGTACATGGCATTTTTCTTGCAACTTCAACTGCTCCAACTGTTTCAACTGCTTCACGAGAGCACCCTCAGGTAATTTCTAGATCTAATTTGCATCCTTGTTGACATGGACAATGAGGACACTGACTTAAGGACCCGGGAAAGATTGGTTTTGCTTTCATTCATTTTTTACAGTGAGAGAGGTGACAGCCTCTATCACTTGACAAAGCATCACACAGCCTCCACAATAAGGATGTTGTTAATGTGAGGATATTTTTGTGTTATAACATATTACCTAACCATGTGAACAACAGTGTTGGTTTAAATTACCAGCCAAAGACAGTATCCTTGTCAGTTTTCTTTAATGTTTTGTACATGTCGGAATTAGGTAATTTACAAACGGCGACCACGACGTCCTCCCTTCCTTCTGGTGCTGTCTGATGGAATTGGGGTCACATCCTCTGCAAAACACAAAGATATAATTTACAAAACTTGACAAATAACATATATAGACAAAGGCAAACACTGAAATTTCCCTCATTTATCAATCTTGACTGATGCACAACACAGTACCTAAATGCAATTGAATTCCTGTAAGGATTTAAACCATTAGAGCACTAAAAAGTATTTTCTATAAATAGCAAGTAAATGTGGCTTTGAATCTTTAACTACATATATTAACAGGTCCAAGTCTTAAGGGTGTTAGTGAAGCTTGATAATAATTCCACAAGGAATGATGCAGCTAGGGTGCCAACCAAGTTTGAGGCCATGTGACATTAAATCAACATGTTTTAGCATACATAACATTCCTACACCCTCTACAACTTTCAGTCGTGATGCAATAACTTAATTACAAGACATAGTTGAATTCTCATGTACCGGTCTATGTCTAGAAGAGCTATAGGAATGGATTAGGCTAAAACTCTGAACTGACACAATCTTGAAATCACTGGCACCATCAAGGCCCAAATAAAATTAATTCTTAGTTTCTCAAGCCATTTTTTTGAAAAATCAATGAGGAAGGCATTTTTTTTATTTGTTTCTGAAACAATGAGGCAGGTATGCATTTTATATTCTAAAATGATGGGGATATCAAGGTCTCCCTCAAGCAACATTGTCAAAATCAATAGTTTTTGCCAACCATAGCCGACATGTTGTAGTTTTCATATATTGCTGTGGTAATTCCCATTCGATGTCTAACTTCCCGTGCTGAATAGCTAGGTACAGCTCGGAAACGGTGAAAGACTCACTGAATCCAGAGACAATGCTCAGTGGGAGTATAATCTTTGTCCCTACACTTATTTGTACTGATAGCACCGCCATTTTGGTATGGGCGGAAATGCTGTTCGGAAACTAAATTTCAAAAATGGCACATTCCAGTGACAGTACATGCCGGAGAAATCCGCTGTATCCAGGTAAAGCTGATATTTATGCGGCAGATTTCTTTTTGATTTTATCACATTTTCCAATAAAAACGGCCAATGCTGCACCGAAATTAAGATGCGGCGGAGCCTCAGAAACTTAAAACTAAGGTATCATATTACGATATGAAATCAATACTTGGAAGTTAGAAGATCAATTTTGCCGCAATGAAAGACTTTGATGAGACTTCCACAATTTTATATTTTTCCAAATATGTATATAAAGGAATTAGAAAATGTCATCCATATTGTAAATAAAATAAACTAGATTTTACCAATTCTACCAATCTTCATTCCCGATCGAGCCAAGGCTCTCAGAGCTGACTGTGCACCTGGTCCAGGAGTCTTAGTTCTGTAATGAAAGAAAATAAAATTTAGAGAGTGTTCTAGCGCTTGCACCTTTTCTGAACTAAATATTTTCCGATGCTGGAGATGGAGAAAAGACTATTCCAAATTCATAGAAGGTAGGTTCACCAAAGATCCCAGAAGGATCTTGGTGTTCACCATTGCATGGTCTTTATTTGTTCTTTAAATGTTGGATCTTAATTTTCTTTCCTCTTGTTTGCTCATAAAGCACTTAACAAAATAAATGAAAATAGCAAGATAAATCTTGACAGAGGGATCTTGGCTCCCACCATTGTGTGATCTTTATTTGCTCTTTGAAAGCTAGATCTTATCCCTTCTTTTCTGTTCTCTTCTCTATTTTGCTCTTAATGGTAAGAAATCTGAACATTCCTTTGCAGAAATAATGATGATAATCTTTACATGCCAAATCCAAAATGATTGCCTTGAAGCCATTTTATTTTTCTTTTGATCAGTTTCAAAATCACACAGACACAAGAGGCTGCCTGTCAGCCATTTTTTTCTGACTAGTCAAAAACTAAAACAGATACAACTAGGGACCAAGAGGAACCTATACATGAATTTTGAGAAAGATCTTTGCTTTATTTCTCAAGAAATAGTGATAACAAACCCTCAAATGTGAAAATCAAGATGGCCACCTGTCGGCCATTATGTTTTTTCTGTTCAGACCCAAAATCTGATGAGCACAAATAAGGACCTTGGGGAACCTACATTTGAAATGGAAGAAAGGTCCAACTATTACTTCTTATATAGATAACAATCCTGCGACCTCATATTCAAAGATGGCCACCTGTTGGCCATTTTGTTTTGTTTTCGGTTTTTTATTAATCAGTGAGCACAACTACAGACAAAGATGAACAGTCATAGAAAATTTGGCAAGATCCATCCAGGTCATCTCATGAAATAGCGATAGCAAAAAATGTTTACAGATGGATGGACAGACCACAGTGGTAGGGCCATTTGAACAGCCCATCACCTGATGATGGTTGGCTAAAATACAAATATGGCCACAGAGATATTATGATTATTCTTCAATCAAAATACTGAAGGGAATGATGCCAATAGAGTGCTGACAAACTTTGGTAATATGTTCATACAGACAAACATACCAAAGGATGAACATTTAGGAAAGATATATAGTCCCCTGGTTTCACAAGTTAGTGATTAATAAATGAAATAAAAGTAACATTATAGTGAAAGGTCCTGTGTCATATGTACCATACAAAGCTTTTCATAGTGCAAGTAAATTTCCATACTGTGAAGCATTATATAAACAAACATTGAGTGCCAGGTATTTCAAAATTAAATGAATTTCACCTGTTACCACCAGTGGCTCTCAGCTTTATGTGGAGCGCATTAATTCCAAGAGTCTTGCATCTCTCAGCAACATCCTGGGCTGCCAACATAGCAGCATATGGTGAAGCCTCATCTCTGTCAGCCTTGACCTTCATTCCTCCAGTTACACGGGCAATGGTTTCCCTGTAACATATAAATTCCTTTAATACAATGAAACCTTGAAATTCTTATCTCCAATTATAAAACCACTAACGAGATTGTGTGTGCAGTTTGATATCTGAAACTTGTTTAGTGTAGCTCTCCTGCTTCTTTTATATTATCTATATTTATACCTACCAGTGGTTACTCCCATATTGGACCCAAACCCGCCCACCTATAAAATATAAAATTTATACACCTTACCCAAGAAAGCTTAAGAAACTCAGAAATAATCCAATCATTCTTACAGAAGAGGGATTGAAGTATTTGTTTGGTTTTCCACTGTTTATAAGAAACTGGTTCCTCTTCACTCAATGATACCTTGGACCAAATAATAACAGAATCCAAGCATTCTTTCAAAAACATAAGGATTTTAAAGAATTTGCAACATTTCAACATTTGTACCTGCTCCTCATGCCCAAAGAGGCCTCCAAGGCCCATCGATTATACAAAATTGATTTCCCAACTCACTCCAGGATGCTTCAGATCAAATTTGGACTTAATCCACCCATTTCTACACGAGTCAGAGTTTTGGACCAGGTGAGCAAATAAACTAAGGAGATAATCACTTCGTAATACCTCCCTTCCCCACTTTTTTTCTGATTTGAATCTATCACAGGTTAAATATATCAAAGGGGTCATAAAATATCTAACATGAGGTTTTTATATTAAACCTCTGACCTCCAAGCTTGTCCAATGATCAAAATCTTATTTAGCTTCGTTTTATTTCAAAAGTGGTCAAGGGTAATCTTCGACCTTTACCCTTGACTATCAAAATCTAACCAAGTGTCGACATTGATGGGAGTGATGCTATGGTGTGAATATGAACTAAATTTGTTCATGGGTTCCCTTACAAAAGTGTAGGGTAAATAATCATGGCAGTCACAAGTAACCAGGTACACAGATATGGATTCAATTTGATTGAAACCAGAGAATTATGTGTAAACGAGAACTGTCAAAAAAAGTAACTCTCTTCCATTTCTTTCTCTATCAATTCCTATGTACCATATCACATGCAAAGTTGATATATACGTAATTCAGTTTCCTCAGGTCACGTGTAATATGCAGATGCAAAGATTGCCAAAATGATGAGATATGGTTGGACTTTCCACTTTCAAATGAAAGGTTTTTAAAGTTGTTTTACTAAATTGGTGCTGAATGTGTCAATGTTAAGCAGGACAACTTGACAATTATAAAAATAAGTCCTTGAAAATACTGTACCGAGTCTCAGCAGAAGATAATATGAAGCCTTCTAACTGCTGTTTTGCATCATTTTCTTATAACAACGTTATATTCAATAAAGGATTCAAGTCATCAAACATTCCCCACCATTTCAACAAATGTTTTGCAAACCATCTCCAGTATCTGGATTTTGGTCAGGTTTTCAATTTCAGATACCAGAGGCTGGAATTAGTATATTGAAGGTACAACTTTGTAAAATTGTTGATTTTTAGACATGCATTATTTTTTACTATCTTCAGCAGACGCGTGTTCATCTTCAGTACAATGTTTCTCAAGAAAGGACAAATGTCTCCACAAAAAAAATAGGATAATGGTCACCCCCATAATGATCCAGTTGACATGGGTTATGTTAATTCCCACTGTTTCTCAGTGTAACTCTTCACAAATGTGTTATCATATGAGAGATGTGAACCATTAATGTAATTGTATGTGTGAAATGATGAGCATGTAGTCAATTGTATGATCCTGGTCAAAATGTTAATCAATCACTCTCTATTTCATCTTAATTTGTTAAATGTGTGTTTCTATTGAATGTTATGTTTTTAATATATTGCAGACAAATGCCTTTCATCTGCATCTAAAATAAATTAGAATTGGACAGAAAGACTGAAGCAGAGACTCTGATGTTTTTTTCTGCTGGTTACATAAGCATGCTTATATGGAAATTCAAACACCCACACAGTAAAGGGATGAGAGTAGGGGTGGGTGCAAATTTATGGCAGATAATATACCAGTTATATCTAATGTTACAATGTCTACTCACTAGTGTTGCCTTCGCATCATCAATTTCCATTGGAGTATGAAGCATACCAACATCGATACAATGCATTAAATTTCAGTATAAATTTTTTAGTGATATTCTGGCACATTATTTTCAAAGTCAGTGCATTAAAAAGATTCAGTATTTGAAATTCCTAGATTTTTCACTTACTTTCCAGACAAATCTGTGACATGTACAAATGTGTCATTGAAACTGGCAAAGATATGTGCTACACCAAACACATTTTCACCCTCCTTGACCTGTGGTCCAAGTACCACTTGCTCCTCCTTTTGCACCTTCCCCTTTCGTGGAGCCATTCTAAAATGAAAGATAAATCAGTATATGTTATGTGACATTTTTTTTGTAATTTGGAAATAATAATTCAAATAACACAACAGCTCTGTATTTTAGTTGCCTGGCATATAACACTATTTGGAAACCTCTACAAGATCATATCTAGATTTCTCCTTGTAAGCCTATCATTGCTATCAATCTTGTGACTGCATTTTGGTAGGTTTCTAAAACAAGACTAGATAGATTCTGTATAGTGACTTCCAATACAAAAATGTTGAGAGTGAAATGGTTGTGAAAAATGAGTAAAAATACTTTTTAAAACATACAATTGCAGGTGTTAAGATTTTACATTTTGATAATTGGAGAAATTCGACTATTGACTATAAAAAATCAAATTGACAGTAGAAAGTCAGAAACAGTCGGACAACGATATCATACGAGATTGCCCTAATGAAATTACTTCATTTAGTGCACGTGCAAGTCAGTGTGTATACAGGTTGGCAAGTTCATTGGACTAAACAAATATGACCATGTCCTGGCCAACATAAACCTTTGTACATAATGCTAGACTGACGTAAAGAAATAAAAAATATCAACGAAACAATCATACAATGTTGATTTTATAACTTTTCCTCAGTTTCAGAACACACTCGATCCACGTCATGCTGATCTGATCAGAGGGGTAGCCTAAAGAATTAATAGATATGGTTTCTCCAGGTTCTTGAAGAATATGCTACAATTGCTAATTTAGTATACAAAATAAATAGACCTAACGCAGAAGGGATCGATTTTACTATCAAACGGACAATTGTAATTATTGTTGAGAGTGCATGGACATGTGAAATGACAAGTGACTCCGAGCATCAATAGCATTACGATACCGAGATCGTCGTCACACGACTTTTCAACATTGACTTCCTCTAAGTCTCCATAATTTATAAAAAAAAAAGGTCTTCTAGAGAATTTTACCAACCACAAAGATATTAACTGCTTAATACCCGTTGAAATACCGAGGTAACGGTAAAATTAAGTTCTTAGTTTTGTAAATATCTATTTGTAAACATCTTTCACATGGACGACAGTGTCAGTTAAAACTCATTTAAACCACTAAAAACAAATTTGATTCTAATAAAATTAATATATGTGGATTTGCTATGGAAACTTTTGCAAAAGGCATCAACAAATTAACCATGATACATTAATTTAAAGTACGATGTTGCACGATTTATTTCTCAGTTCGAGTTTTCGATTCTAACCTCAAGTGAGCGAGATGTAAAAGGCTTCCGGTGAGATTTCATCGTGAAATCTCGAGACTATTGACTACGGATTATTACGGAAATACACGATCACTCCCGAGTAATTTGTTATTGTTGTGTAGACTGAACACTCCAAAAAGGGGTGACTTGGCACCCTATTTTTCCACGTTTCAGTCTAAAATAGAGGCAAATGGGCACTTTTACAACAATGTAGGTATTTGTAGGGGTTTATTCAAGTATTTATTAACAATATGATTGCATCGATTGACTAATCGGTGTCTAACTCCGGGCACTGGTCTCGGAGCAGTCGACACCGAGCAGAAGCCAGGGTTCAGTTCAGACCTGTGCTTGGGTGTCATTTTCCTGAGAAGTCCTATTATTATGGATCTCCTTTTTGACTGGGATAATGAGGGAGATAGGTATTCTTTCGAAGACAGCGATCGATTTGAAGAAGACTCATTGTGTTCGTGGATAAGCGAGCCAGAAAGTCTTTGTAACAATTGGAGAGGATGGAAAAGACAAAATGGAGGTCAAGCTTCGACGATTGTTAAAAACCAGGGTGAGTTGGCCGGAAATTGTAAAGAGATTATTCCCACAATGGCCTTTGTTTTCTGAAACCTGCAACAGCTATCAAACGGACTTCTTTTAAAAATTACATATGTATCGAGTACAGCACAGTAATGTATGCCGTCTAGAAATAACCTGCATTAGTAATTTGCATATAATATTTATTACAGAATGCACGATGCATCGGCAATACAATGTAGATACACAGGTTCAATGCTTTTGACCATAACATCTTAAAATCTATTCCTTATGTGCATCACTTTAAAGATTTGCTTCTGGTGCACATGACATATTGTAATAAACCGAACATATAATCAGCAATTACAAATTTTAAAAAATCACCTTGATGTCCAATGATCTTCATAGATATGCATTTAACACCCTTGTTACTCTTAAGATAACTGCATTCATTTTACCTGTTGAACCAGTTGATAGTTCATCTCAAAATTTCAAGTTGATGTAGAAAATTGAGGATTTATCAAGGAACTGTGGAATATCATTGTGATTTTTTTTTATTTTAAGAGGTGGATGAAAAATCATCAAACTTGTCTAAGCATACTGATTATTTAATAAGGCTCTGAAAGACATACAATTGAAGTGTCTTTGAATAATTTTTACATATGTACTAGCCATTTCTCACTTGTTGTTATTGGCCTGGTGAAATGACCCAATTTCTTGAAACCAGTAATGGTCTCTCTACTGTTAAAGCACAGGGGCACCCTTCTATACAAATTTATTTATTGGTAACATATGTGTACTCCTTTCTGATTATGTTGATTACTATATATACATGTATATAATGGCAAAACTTTTTTTCTCTGAAATTTAATGTAAAAGTAGACAATTGTCCTTAGACTTATAAACATACAGGTGACAATATCAGTATATGGAAATCAATATGATATGTACATCATCAATGACAAATGCAATGGTATCTTTTCCCATCCTTTAAGAAATACATTTATTTCAAAATATTATTGTGGTATTAATAGTGTTATAAAATATTAAGCACATCATCTATTTGTGACACATGCATTTGTGAAGTGGTGAGAGAGAAAAAAGGCTAAGAAATGAACACAATCTGCACTTACACTAAGTGTGAATCCAAGGGATACCGTATTCCAGTATGTGTAATAAGTTAAATGTTTAAAGAAAATGTTTTATCAATAATATGCTTCACCGAAAAATCATAGAAGAAAATAAGTGAATTGCATTACAATAACTCAAATAATCATGCCTTATTGCAAATGATAAGACATTCATCAAAATTCTCTCCTTTATGATGAACTGTTTACTATTGCTGACTAATTTTGTTGAAATGGCATATGGCACATTAAATTTTCTGAGTTTTCATGTTTTACAAGCACACTTTTTGATAGCTTCTATGCCTCATAACTGTATAAATAGTGTAAATATTAGAAAAATGACATACATATGTATTCTATTAATGTAATATATTGTTTGAGCAATCAATGCAATGTACAGAGATCTGTCTTAACCTCAATATTCTGATTGCATTTAATAAAATCTTGGGTAAAATTTGACCACCTATGCTATGTAACTGCATGCATGGAATCCTGTCAATTTTGTGACTAAGCTGTTAGTTTATAATAGGGACCAGTGGTTGGGAAAATTAAATACTGGTGAGTTTTGAGATAAAATTATGATAACTGTTCCACTCTACTGTGTTCTGATGTCAGAATTGTTGTGTATATCAGTTGATTAATTCATATTAGATTATCAGTGAATGATAAACAGAAATTGATACATACATGTTTATATAAACAGTAGTTTTAATTATTTTAAGTTCCTTGATCTTATAGTCCCAACATTTTAATTGTGTAATAATAATCAGACAACAAGAAACACCTCTCCAAATCTAATGAACATCCAACACCAACAAAAATCACACATTATCATTATTCTTTATTCCTCAAAGCAGAGAGTACACTGTAACTCCAACAGCTTTTTCCATTCAAACGTTAAAACATTAAAAAAAAACTTATTTAACTTGGAAAGTTGAACCCAACAAGATTAGAAGATAGGACATATTCATGAGTAACAGTATCTTGATATGGACAAAGACAGTAGCAGAGATGGTGAGTCAGTGTGAGGTACATGATGTACATGAAAACCCTGGGGGTCAATGTAGCTCATCATCTGACATTATTTTCTCTTTCTAGTATACAAAGCCTCAGGCAAACAAGTATGCAGATTTTTTTTTATGTATGATGCTAGATAATCAGATATTTTTACCCTTGATTAATAAAGATTTCTGAGGGATACCACTTCATGACACGTAACATTAATTTTAGCAATTTGTGTACATTTAGAACATTACAACTAATACATTTTCTACAAGTTTCTTTAGTGTTTGTGATATTCATCAGATATATCTTGAGGTCAACCGTATGATAAGGTTGTTTGGGACAGTGACCTTTCCGCCCCATATCACCTGACTGGTTATTGTACATGATTGTGTACACTGTATAGATAGATTATGAATCTCTGATCCTCAAAGGAAAGAAAACAAGATAATGACCATATAGCTATTACGAAAAAAAAGATAGTTCTATATGGCTTAATCAGTCTTGATTAACATGGAAGAAATATAAATAGTTCTTTGAAGAATTATATATCAAAATTTGTTAGGTCATGATTATAAAATGTAATTTTGAAAACATTGGCAATTGATTCATTGATTTCATTAACTCCATAAACAGGGATATTTGGAGACAAAAAGTTTATTTATTGAATCATACTTCATATGATTGATAATATTTTTTGACATATCCAGGAATTGTGTAACTGTCAATCCTTTCTTTGGAATGTGGTGGAAGAACATGTTTTCCCTCCCTATGTTTTTGGGGAATTCTACTGTATTTTATTGTAGGATAATTTCAGGCAAATTCAAAACAATTTTCACACTTTCGACGAGTTCCATTACTAAGAGAATTTCTTTTTTAAAATATGGGTAAAGTCCACTGGAAAAACATAGTATAGGACTCAAAAAGGTGAGTCCGAAAATCACATGAAAATCACAATGATTTTTAACCTTATTTAAATTTGATGTTCAAATGAACTCTGTTCATACAGTTCATTTGAACATCAAAATTTTATTAGATTGTGATGCTTTTTGACCAAATATTTTTTTACATTATGATGTTTTAGTAAGATAATTGCTAAAAAGAGAAATTTCACCACTCTTACAAGGCATGATTTGATAGATTTTGCATATTTCACATTTTGTATCAGTTATGGTGTTTGTGACTTAAAGAATTTGTTGTAGTTCAGTGGCAAGTGTAGGTTTTCGAGAGACAGTATACATTGTACTTGTGAGAAACTAGCTGTTATCATCACACACCAGTTATCAAGCCCATACTTCGTTACACTGTATAAACTGTTAGGGCCCTTGAAAAAAGGAAACTGCAATTAAACATTATCTATCCTACATACAGATAGGAAAATGTTAAACGACTGAAAGGTACATTATATGTGACCAGTGATCATTTAGGTTTGTTGATAAAAAGATTTCCGTTATTTCAAACGTGTTGCAGTGGTTTTGAATCATAAAGATAATGTACTAAAACATCAACAAAACCTGAACTGTCCAAGGGCAGTGGATCTAATGCTATGATATTTCATGAAAGAATTGGTTACAAACTCTGTACCATTACCTCTCTTTTTGGACATTTAAGAATATCACTGTTGAATTGTGACTTCTTTTTCTCCAACCTCTGCCTGTTTTAGGATACATACAGTCCATGTAGGACTCACAGGTGGGAAAACACTCCCACATTGATGTACTAAGTGATCTTTTATACTAAAATGTTACATTGAATTGACAACTTTACACACAGTATGACATCACAACCATTAGCCCATCAAACTTGTTTTCAACACAAATAAAGCTTGTTGGGAGAGATTGTGATATTCTTTTGATTTAAGATATATCTTCAGTATAGCATCCCTTTTTTTCAAACACAGATTTAGTTTATATATATACTTGACCTAGAAACTGTGCTATATTCATCATTGCATTTACATTTCTTTTATCTTCAGAATTCTTTGGGTCCGTTGCCAATTGAAATTATTTTATATTTAAATGAAATTCTCAAAATTTGTTATTAGTTTCTGAAAATTTCCCTTCAGATTCACCAATATTTTGCTACGATGAAGCAAAAAAATCCTGATTTACATGGTCAACATTGCTTTTACTAAATATTTGGTTAAGAATTTGGAGAGAAATGGTCAGCCGTACGCAGGTTCGTAGGATGGATATTCTACCCAAGTCATTCTCAGATAGAATATCCAGGATCAGTTGTGTGCCTTCTCAAAAGCACATACCTTTTCAACTTGATGATATGGAAATACATAGGCATTCTATTACATGTAGGTAGTCACATCTTTGTATCATTGTTAAAAGTCAACCTCAAACTTTTAAATGCATCATTGGTGTAACTGTCAAGTCAGTATGTTAATAAAAACAAACATCCTCAACCACCATTTAATAGGTAATATACCCATCTTTTATTGCATGAAATCAGAATCTGATGGACCAGTTAAGCCACTGGTGGAGTTGGCAGCCATGGCTGTGGCATGTAACATACCATTTGAGGAGGTGGAGATGTTCCCTCAGCCAATCCCAGAACAGCTACAACTCAGGATAGCGTTTTGGAGTTTCCCAGAGAATGAAGAGGATATAAGGTAAATTCATCTGGTCTTCCTCATAATTAATTCTATTGTCTTTGTTCATGCAATGATAAAAGTGGCCCACAATTTATTGTTTATACATGTTGGGCATCCATATTTAAAAGAAAAATAGTGCTGCATTCAAAACATTCAAAAGAATAAAACCATTTTTATTTTTGAGAATTATATAGATAGACCTGATTCATTATTGCATCATCAGAGTATTGCATAAACTATTTGGAGTGTATTTTTGCACATTGTATAATTTGACCAATTTCTCTTGCTATTTATTTCATAAATTCATATTTAATGATTTTTTTGAAAAATCACATATTTCTTTCTGTGATGAACAGTAGAAATATGTATTCTATTTTCCAGTCAATATGTTATTTTAGGAGGTAAATTTTTTGACAGCATTGACTGTTTTGATAAATATATTTTAATGAATCATCCATTTTGGTATTGTTCTTGTTTTCCTTTCTTTTTTTAACTTAACACAAAACGACACATTTACAGTAAACAACAGTTTTTGCGATTTTTGATGTTTGTAAGTAAAAATGCTTTCATTTTAGGTTGTACTCGTGTCTAGCTAATGGCAGTGCAGATGAGTTCCAGAAAGGAGAACACCTCTATAAGTTTAAAGCAGTCAAAGATGCACTACAGATAGGTAAGAATTCAGTCAGTGTTTAAAAAAGTGGTCTTGAGCCTTAATATTTGTTGTTTACCCTAGTCAAGTCTTTAAAAAAAATGGAAATTTATGTGATTTACAATATTTTTTTTTAACTCAAACTGATTAAACTAAATTACCACTGAAGGCAATTCATTAGAAAATTTTAGTGTAGTTTTCAAAAGAAACAAAAATTATTCCCCCCTGTTTTATAGTAGTGGGGTTGGGTGTGTGTGCTACATCCTTGTCTGGTCCCGTTGAATCCTGAATCATTTTCATCACTACAGAATTTCCATTATGATGACCTTTTATTGTTTGCCATAATGATAGGACTGTAACCAAGGTAACATTCAAAGGTCCTCTGATAGATGCATAAAACCTTGTGTGCACTGTTGAGTAGATAATCATTCAAAGTCCAGACTACCTTCTTTATTTGCTAGGAAAGTGTAAATTGTCTGTTAAACAGTGTTGCTATGTCCATACACCAGATATAAGTGAATGAGACAAGGATGGGGGAGTTGGTTGTTCCAGTCTTGTTTTGTCTGTTAAACAGTGTTGCTATGTCCATACACCAGATATAAGTGAATGAGACAAGAATGGGGGAGTTGGTTGTTCCTGTCTTGTTTTGTCTGTTAAACAGTGTTGCTATGTCCATACACCAGATATAAGTGAATGAGACAAGGATGGGGGAGTTGGTTGTTCCAGTCTTGTTTTGTCTGTTAAACAGTGTTGCTATGTCCATACACCAGATATAAGTGAATGAGACAAGGATGGGGGAGTTGGTTGTTCCAGTCTTGTTTATGCTCTCAAATTTCACTGTGAGATTAAATGCACAACTAACTGTTGATGACACAGATATATACCATCAGAAACTCACAATATTAGACCTATCTTTTACTTTTCATAATGTTGTAATATTTTGTTCATTTTGTATTTTAGGTTTCCATCTGAGTGCAACTGTCATCCCACCACAGGGTATCGTACAGGCAAAGGGTAACTTCAATGTAGCTGTTGTGTTTGACAGACGCCGCATATCTTCCTGCACCTGTACTTGTAATAGTGCAGCATCCTGGTGTTCCCATGTAGTTGCACTCTGTCTATATAGAATTCATCAGGTACACAGCCAAATTATTTATATCAAAGAAAAAATAAAGTTTAATGTTTTAATGATACAGACAACCTTTTTCAAAATATGATTCCCAGAATAAAAATACAAGGTATGGGGAAAATTGATAAAATCCATGGGCTAAGAACATCAAACATCATATACATGTATTTGAAAACAACAATGGTGAGTTAAGATCAAATACAGAAATTGTTAGTTGAGCTTTACATTTTGAAATTGAAGATCTGTGGTACATGTGTTGCTAACTGTATAAATATACTTAGTCAGTATCATGAAATGAAGACACCCATGTGACTTATGTCAGCCTCAGGTCCTGAAACAGTATAATGGCTTAGTCACTGATTGCCTTGATCCCTATCTTTAAACTGCATATATGTTTGCCAGACAGCAAATTCATGCAGACATTGAGACCATTTCTCTTGATTAAATAACAAAAATGATCAAGATCCTTATCTACTACCTGATTTTATACAATGCTTGCAACACTTTGTCTCTGAGGTTATTTCAATATCTGGAGACTTGGTCTTGAAAAGATGACCTGGTTAGGACCAATGAAACAAAATATGCTAATAACAACAAGAAATTTACATATTGTGGCTAAAAGGAGGGGACCAAGATCCAGTTGGAGTAGATATGTCTTATAAAATAATTTATGATATTTTTTATCTTTTTAAATATGTTGACTTACCTCAGAAAGGAACTATGAGCTTTTATAAATCTGGTCCAAAACATTGAAAAGATCATGTGAGCTTTTAAGATATCTGGTCCCTGAGTTAAATATTTGATTCCTCTTATCATTTTAGTGTAATGCTGTGTGTCTAAGGGCACCAGTGTCTGAATCATTGTCAAGGCTGCACAGAGACCAGCTACAGAAATTTGCTCAATATCTCATCAGTGAATTGCCACAACAGGTATTTTTCTTCTTTCAGTTGATATATCAAAAGACTTATATAACCATAACTGAATAAGTGGGAAAGTATTACTTTTACTATTTACTACCATTTACTTTATATTAATTAAAAATATGGGTCAAAATACTAAGTAACAACTGTGTGGAAATAAACTAGAATTTTGATTATTGCACTTAATATGAAGTTAATTAGCGTTTTGTCTTTGAAAAGCTTATACATTTGTTTGTTGCTTTATGATTGATATTAATGTGACTTCTCACAATGTATTGCCAACTATGATGGTTTGGTATTCTGAAATATTATGTGTTTACAAAGTATTAAGACTCCAAAGTTTCTAACACCCTCTTGACTGGTTTGGAAATAAACCATGAATAAATATTCTTTGCTCTAAGATTAATTAAGAATACTTTCATATACTTGATTACCTTTAGATATTACCAACTGCCCAGAGATTACTGGATGAACTGTTATCATCTCAGGAAACTGCCATCAACACCGTCTGTGGTGCTCCAGGTAAAATATTTATTACAATCTCATTTATTGACTTAAAAACTGAAGATAATATTTGTTAAACAAGTTTTTGTGTGTATGAAACATTCATAAACTGTATGAATGAACAGTGTTTTAATTTGGTGCTGTTTTACACCAACAAATGCTATGCTTCCAGCTGTTCAGTACACCTAGATCAGTTACTTGATAAAGCATTTCAAGCATGTTGGTTACTGAAATATGTGACCTTCATATGCATTATAACCTGTCATCTAATGAGAAAAAATGTGTAACGAAATAAAAATTCAACAATTTAGGGAAACAAGACATGTCAATGAGATGTTGTAAGAAATGTTTTTCAACTTTTAATTTTTGCTTTATTTTTTTGTTTCAGACCCTACTGCAGGACCATCTGCCAATGAACAGACGTCTTGGTGTTTGGATGAGAACACTCTACATGAAAATATCAAGAAAACACTCGTAAAATTCTGTGTCCCATCTCCTATAGTTTTCAGGTAAGAAGTTACTTAATTCCAGTCATATTTTGACAGGATTCAAATATCCAGAGATCTCTTACACTTTTGACAAAAAAAAAGAAAGGAAAAGAACAGTTGGAATTATAACTAAAGTTTGTAGCTGGGCATTCTAAAGCGATGTTTTCAATCTAGGATATTTGAAAGATTTCTAACAATGCATTCTACTTAGAATTCTAACCTATCTTTGGATTTTCTCGCTCAGTTTTCAGTCTCCTCAATACTTCCGAGGATTTATCACACTGATTCTTCTTTTTTTGAAGAGGAGCTCATGGCTCTCTGAAATGTATTTTGTGTGTAGTTTATTTTCATCAAACATTTTTCATGAGGTTCCTCGCCATAATAATTTTTCAAGTCTTTGATAATACTATCGTCATTTGTTTTACAGTGATGTTAATTATCTGTCAGCCACTGCCCCACCAGCTGCAGCTGAGTGGCAAAGTTTACTCAGACCACTAAGGGGAAGAGAGCCAGAAGGCATGTGGAATCTGCTATCAATTGTCAGAGAAATGTTCAGAAGGAATGATAGCAATGCCATTCCACTGTTGGAAATCATCACAGATGAGGTGTTGCAGTGTGAACAGGTGAAATAATGTTTCTGTTATTTTAAACAAAAAGGTCTCTTTTTCATTTGGTACAGTTTGCAGTATGTAATAAATTTAAGATAATTTTCATTATGTATAAGATTTAATCAAGTGATATTGAGTATGTATAGACATAATTAAATAACATTCAGTTGATATAGAATAAATCAGAGGGTGAGAAATGATGTACTGAATGGAAAGCATTGTTAAGATATGCTGTCTATATATCTTTGCTTGTAGATTCTGATATGGTGGTTCACGACAAAGACAACTGCCAACAACAACAACATGTGTCGGGGTAATGGAAGTGGAGGAGCTAACATTACACAGCATGCTGCTGCTAGTCTGTGTGAGGAAATAGTGACACTTTGGAGATTAGCTGCTCTCAATCCCAAGCTATCTCCTGTACAACGTAATGACCTCAGTGTTAAGTTCAAGGAGTGGCATCTGTCTACTGTGGAGAAAGTAAGGAAGGCAAGAGGAGTCAGTATCAATAATACAGGCAATGGGCTGAAGAAAAATGAGATCGAAAACTTTATTGGATTCAAGCCCGGTATAGAGGCATGTAGTTTAGCATGGGATGACTATCCAATTCCTGGTGTGACTTACTCAGAAAAGGATGGTTCTTGTTTCAAATACAGATTTAACAAGTCACATGACAGCGATAAAAAACCATCAAGGATTCAGCCTGTCACAGTATGTTCAGAAAGTATTATTAGCACAGACAATACAACTACACTTGCTCAAGCACAAAATATGTTACAAGAGCAACATCAAAATGCTCAGGACTTAGCAAACTACAACAGTAGAAGACATGGTCATTCTAGTCCCAGAGGTTCCAATACTAATGATGGTGCCATAAGTTCAGGTTCAGAGGGTTTCTGTGAGCCTGAAAGAAGTAGTTCTTTATACAGAGATTCTGACTCTGGATCAGAAATGAAAGAAGTAAATTCTAGAAGCAATTCTATTGATGATCAAGAGGGTTTTCCAGGTCATTCGTCCCTCGCTAATGGTTTTGGCATGGGAAATAGATCCGATGGTGCCTCTAATTTCTCAGTATTTTCAACAGACAAGTCAGGAGATGTATTCCATGCTTGTGACAATGCTCAGGATAATGCTGCATTTGTTATGGCTGCCTCAGACACTCAAGCTTCTGGATCTGCAAGGGCTGAACACTCTTCAGAGTCCCAACAGTCTGGGGATGAATACCAGGTGTATTTCTGTGCAAAAAACAAAACAGCTGATGCTGACAAGCATAAGAAGGACAAAACAGACGAACCTAATTTCTTTGCTGGAGTGAAAAATATGGATCAAATGCAAGATGTAAGATGTTTTCTGAACATGTACTGCATGAATTATCATTAATAATTACTGTTAAAGCAACAATGTACAAGTGCATTGATCTGACACCCTAATTCATCTTAATTAACAGTTAATCAGATACATTTTGTACCAGGTTAAATAATGTGTCAATAATTTCAATGAAAACAAGTTACCAAAGAATTCTATTCCGTGCTCAAGTGGGGAAAATTTGCTAAGATTATATACGCAGTAGTTAAGTTATATATTTGAGCAATGTTACAGGTATATATCTGTAGGAATGTACAAATATTCTTCCATAGGTACTCTATATAATCAAAAGCTTTATATTTATAAAAAATATGCGGAATGGCACTATATATACTGTGTAGTAGTGTGATTTTACAAGTGTAATTTTCACAGTAGTCCAAGTTGGCTTTCCATTGATATCTATATATACATAACATTTATTTACTGAGCTTTGATTCACTATAGAAATGTTTGCTGGGTGTTAAATACCTTGAATGGCTACAAACATCGGGAAGTCCACCGGGAATATTACCAACCATTCTGTAGAAACATTTCAGTGGTTTTTTGATGCACATGTTTTATTCAAATAACTTTGGGCATTTCCTAGATCCTGTTTGCAAGAGCAGAAGCCCTTCATGCCCATGGTCACACTAAAGAAGCCTGTCGTTTAGCCCAGAGACTTGCCGAGGAAATGCTGGCAAATCCTTGTGATCTGCTTGCAGAGACAGCCAATCTCCCAAGTATCAAAGGTAAGTGTTTTCAAGAGACTGTCACACATACTTTTCTACTGATCTTGCATAATTAACATTCATGCTTACTTAATGTGGGTTATGCTTATTCACTACAGGTAAGAAGAAGAAAGCCCTGACCAACATCAGTCTGATGGCCAGTTCCACTCTGTCAAAGGCCGCCTTCCTGTCCAGTGTGTTAGCAGAAGAGCATGAATGTTTCCACCTTGCCTTCAAAGTGGGGATGTTTGGACTGGAACTCCCAAGGCCACCAGCATCCTGTAAAGCATTGGAGGTGGGTAATACTGTGTAGATGTGGAATTTGTTTTTTAGTTATTGTATAGCTATATGTTGAAGGATAAAAGTAAAGGTCTGTAATTAGTTCAGCCATACAGTGAACGGTTAAGAATGTATTGAAACACTAATCAACATAACATCATGAAGTGCTTTTATTTTATCTGTATTACATATTTATCACATATTGTTTCAGGTAAAATTAGCATATCAAGAAACAGAGTTACTAAACCTGTTGAAGAAGATACCCTTAGGTCCAGCAGAAGTGAATGTTCTGAGAGACAAGGCAGAACAGCTGAGAGATAGAACCATAAAATCTCGTGGTGATGCCCTCTTGCCTCTCACTTTAGCTAGCTTCATATTTGATTCCCTCTGTCTGCCTAGTAAGTAGTTTATAAAGATAACATAAAAAGCTATGTTGACGAATACTTTCAAAATCTCAACTGGAAACCTGTCAGGAATATGATAAGATATTCATTATGGCTTATTTAAAGCAAAAAAAGATAGGTAAATGTTACAACGTCAGGGAAATTGGAAATGTTGATGTTTTTATAATATATATCACCAACTTCTGTTCAACGAGATTTTGGCAAGTACAACAAGTTTGTTAGTACAACAGGTATTTTTATGAAAATACTAAAACACTATATGCGACATGCCTATTCCTACATCAATATCAACCACTCAAAATTACTATAGATCATATTATACCTTCCACCATCCAGACCTGTGGATTTTGCAGCTGGGAAAGTGAAGCTTATAATGTCACATGCCCATCGTAGGAATGAAAACTATGATACAACAAAAATTGTACAATACTAAGCCTATGTAACTATATGTATTTCAGTGTTCCCATTGGGTAGTACTAACAGCAGGCCTCCCAGTAGGTCAGTACAGATCAGTATAGCCAGGTCCCCTGGAGATGAGAAGCTTGGTTTTGAAGGAGCTGTTGCAGCACTGGGTAAATGTTTTATCATCTGTTACATAGGTATCATGGTAAAAATGTTTGCTTAGAAATTAAATCAACATATTAATCAAACACCCAGTTATGTTCAAATGCTATCTCAATTATCATATTCCATCCCTAATATTCCAATCGGCAATATGTATTGTTCAGGAAACACCCTCTCGATATTAAATGTGATAAATATAGCTCTAAAATCAAGAATGAAGCAGCATTCCCCCTCCTAGAACTGATGATGAGCATTACATGGTATCAAAATTGCTGTGGATTCATAGCTCGTTTCTATTTCAGGTATGAAAGCCAATGTATCGGAGGCCGATCACCCACTACTATGTGAGAGTACAAGACGTCAGAGAGGGGAATTGGCAATTACAATGTTGGTCCATTACAAAGATGACCAAGTGAAATTAAGCAAGGTACAAAGGTCACTTCTGCATAATGCTTCTATAATGCTGCACATGCTGACATCATTGAAGGTCATACCATATAATGGGTTTACTTTGCTATATTCAAATCCACTAGTTCAATATTCCCAATGTTGTCTTATGATGAAAATAGTGAAAATTAGACTGGCAAAAAAAGCCCGAGTTATATGGCATGTTAATTTATTTTCACAAGTGTTATACAAATGTATGAAATATATCTTTTCAGATCATGGATAAACTGCTGGATAAGGAAGTACACCAATTGTACAAAGCTCCAAGTCTTGTTAATTACCTAGGCAGTAAATCACCTTCTGGTCAGGCAACAACATCTATCCAGGCCATGCATACCAGCCCTTCCACTAGCCAGTCTGTGCCACAAGCCTCCACCTCGCAAAACAATTGTTCCTCGGTAGGTCAAGCTCTTCAACAAAGTGCGGAGGGGGGCAGCAGTCAAGTAGCTGCAGCCAGGACAGTATCTAACACCATTGTTACGTCTACAACTGGTGCTAGGCCAAAGCTCACATACCCTCTGAGGTATAACAGGTATGATTGAACCCATTCTTTTTCTGTTTCTTTTAAATCAGAATTGAAATTTATATGTGGACAGAAATTGGACGAAGTCTTAGACTATGTGGACAGAAACTGGAAAAATTTCAGAAAAGTCTTTCATTTTTACAGTCAAAGTTTTAGATTATTAGACTTTTTTAAATACATTTCTCTCTGTAGTCGGCTAATAAGCAAAAAAAATAACTGAAAAAAGATCTATGTTACTTCTATGAATGTGTAACATGCATAAATCGTTAAAACAGACCTCAAAGTACAAAAACAAAATAATAAAGATGGTCACTTAATGCAATCAATTGGGGATATATTTTATTAGTGGCAAAGATACAGACAGTTCAGCAGTAGAGGAAGAAGAAGAACTCAAAGCTCTGGAAGCCAAATTGAGATGTATGAGCATGAAGAAAAAGCCTTCCCAAGGTAAAGAAAAATAATTTCTTCTTTACCACTATGTATCTTTTTGGGGTTGCATGTGAGTCAAATTTGAATTAAACAAATATTTTCATTTACTATGGTGAAACTTCTTTAAAGTAACTCAGTAGCTATAAACCAATCAAGGGTCTGGTCAGGTGTACATTGATACATTGACAGCTTATAATCAGGAAAATACAGTATTATGGAGAAAAAAGAAAAAAAAAAATCTAGAATAACTTTGTTAATAAGGAAACAGCCTATTGAAAGACTGCTGTGATATTGCTTGTGTTAGGCATGGCCAGCATTGACAGCAGTGCCCCAGAAACAACATCAAGTGACAATTCCCCAACCATGGTAAGGAGGACATGGAAACACCAAGGACCAGGCAGTGACTGTGGCAGTTCAGGGGACAGCAGTGATTCTATAGGTTCCAGTAGCTCAGGGGACAAGGATGCCAGAAACAAACTCAGAGAAAATGAAAGGTGAGGACATTCAATGCATGCTATTTTTGGTAAAGTTTAAGAAACTAAAATGAAGAAATGTAGGGTAACATAGGATGATAATTTGAAGATAAAATTTTGTGTATGACACTTTGACAAAATGATTTCCATTAGATATGAATGTTTTGACCACTTCCTGTTTCAGTCCTCCCAGTCCTATGGGTGCCAGATTAATGCCATCCCAGTTAATGGAATCTCGAGTTCTTACTCCAGGAATGGCTAATGTAAAGAATCCAAGGTGAGTGACTTTCTATTTTCAGACAACACACAATATTGGCTCAACAAATGCTTTATGTCATCTACTTTTTATTGATTAGTGGTAAGAAGATGTAGACAAGGTTATGTTATCTTATATCTCTCATTGTAGAAATGAATTTGTTGGTATTCAAAGTTATGAGTAATGATATGTTTCATTCTCAGGTACAAAGGAAAGGCCCGTATCATGCCCACAGTACCCAACCAGCCAAGTGAAGCCTCAGCCCACTTTATGTTTGAGTTGTCAAAAACCGTGTTGACTAAGGCTGGTGGCAATAGTTCCACTTCCCTGTTCACACAGCCCAGCAGTACCAACACCCACACAGGACCTCATAGAAACCTTCATCTCTGCGCCTTCCAGATTGGCCTTTATGCCTTAGGGCTTAACAATTGTGTTTCTCCCAACTGGCTGTCTCGAACCTACTCATCCCATGTGTCCTGGATTACAGGTACACAACAATCTATTGTAAACAATTATTGTTGGTTATCAGCAAATAATACACTTGTTTTGTTCAAGGTGTTTTAATATTTGGTTTTTGTCAGAATAGTAAGCCCAGTGTTTTAGCACTTATCTATGAAGAGGGTATCCCTGTTTCTGCAAAACAATATTTAGGCAGATAAAAAAAGAAAAAATCTATACAATTATTAGATATGCATCAGTTTACTACAGATGAAGCTATGATTTACAGATTAGGGTGCATGCTAGTACACGTACTTAACATATTTCTCTATGGTAAGTATGCATTCTCACTCCACATTAAGCAATCATTTAATTAAATTCACCGAGAAGAATTTATATAGATCATCACAGCTAAAACTCCTAAAAAGAATAGATAACAGTTTTGTTTTAGTAATAATTGATATATTCTATAAAAACATTGTTGGTAATATCAAAATTGAATCATGTTACAAGAATTAACCATGCTTGTTTATTTTAACATTATATTTATTGGTTTTGCAGGACAAGCAATGGAGATTGGAAGTGCAGCAATCAATATGCTGATAGATACATGGGAGGGTCACCTCACACCAGCTGAAGTAGCATCTTTGGCTGATAGAGCTTCCAGAGGTCGTGACCCCAACATGATTCGCGCAGCTGCAGAACTGGCCCTGTCATGCTTGCCCAATGCACAGGCACTTAATCCTTCTGAGGTGCAAAGGGCCTTGATCCAGTGTAAAGAGCAGAGCAGGGAGATGTTACAGAGGGCGTGTTTGGCTGTAGAAAGTGCAGCCAAGGGAGGGGGTGTGTACCCTGAAGTTCTATTTGACGTTGCCAAGCAGTGGAATGAGTTATCAGAGGAGGCGGCAAAGTCTAGTCATAATCATCAATCTTTAGAGACTACACAACAAAGTCATTCAACAACAGAATCCAATGACACTGGTGTCCCAACAGCAGTGGTGACAGCTGCCAGCGTGGCAGGGGCTCCACTTCCAACTGATAGGAGGAGTCCATCCTCTCTCTCAGTCATTCCATTCAGCTCCACTCCTCCACATTCATGTAATCAAGTAACACTGACAAATACACCACAGATGATGCCACGTGCTGTCAACAGCCAGATTCCTACTCAGCCTGTTGTGCTGTCATATGCCATTCCTCAAGCTAACCCTCATCATCCTCAGCTACCTCATCACCACCAGGCGTATGTTCAACATTATGGATATGTTCAGCAGATACAGCCATTTGGACATCAGTACACAACACATCAGCCAATCCCCATGCAGAATCATAACCTTCATCATTTTGTACCTGCATTTACATATCAAAATCAGCCTCACTTTAACAACATGCAAGGATTACCAACTCCTGCCAATATCTATCCTGCCAGTGCAGCTCCACCATTCCGGGCCCTGACCCCTGCTGTACAAGTGTTTCCTAGTCATCCACAGTGTCATCCTCCCAGTGTCCAGCAGATCCCCACTTCATCAGCAGGATCTGTGCAGCCTTCACATCCAATTGAGGTGGTGTCTGATGGCTCCTCTCAGTCTCCTAGTCCGCCCCAGTCTGCTACCATCCAGGGACAGCATAATGGTCACCAGACAACCACCAATCAGGTGCAGTTGAACTATCTAATGGCTGCCTTCCGTGTTGGCATGTTAGCTCTTGAAACATTAGCAAGACGTGTGCATGATGACCGACCACAGGCAAAGTATTCCCGCAACCCACCCTACGGAGAGGATGTGAAATGGCTCCTTAAGATTGCTGTTAGGTTAGGTAGGTAAATTTTTGTGTGGAAGAAACGCGTTTTTTCACTCCACCGACAGTATATGGTTTGCTTTTCAAATTAGCTTTTGTTAGTTATTCATCTATCCATCAATAAACAATACTGGTTATTGTAGATCTTTCTCAAGTTACCTACAAAACAAATTTAATGAAAATTGCCACTAGTAGCAGTCTTTAAATTTGATGTGTGAATAATGCTTTTCAAAAATTTCCTTACAGACTTAGCGTATAACATTATTTTTCTAATAATCAGATGAAAAATGATCTCTCTCACTAACTTGTTCTAAAATACTAATGTTGAATTAATCAAGTACATTATACATCTACATTCTAATAACATTTGTAAATCCATATCTAGCTAAGCTTTTTATATGAATATTAAAAAATCATAAGTCAATAGCAAATAACCAACCAGTATGGTTTGCATTGGTGGGCATCCAGATCCCTCAGATATCTGATCCCTTTCGTCTGTAATCTGTGATTTAATGATAGAATTAACTTTATTATGCCCCCACCATTTATGGCTGGGGGCATATAGCGTTGCCCATGTCCGTCCCGTCCCGTCCCAAATCAGTATATACCATCTAACAACTTCATTCGGAAGGCAATTTTCATGAAACTTCATACAAATATCAAGTATGGAAAGACCTCATGCAGTGTTGAATTTCTCGGCATTCTAAAAAAAGATGGCCACCAGGGGGAGATAACTCAAAAAAGAGGAACATCATCTTATTTCTACATAATTTGGTACTTGAGGGTTTTAAGGCATAAGGAACTAATATACTCCCTCCTTTTTCCAGAGAACAAAATTCCAAATTCATGTACGTTAAATCAACTTGTCAATTTAAGTATGAAACTTAAGTTGTACATAGTTGCATACAAATTAACAAAATCATCTCTTTCGGACCTTTCACTATTATTTCACATGGGGGCGGGGGCATTCATGTCTTACAGACATTTTCTAGTTTTATTTATGTTAATGAGCCATAATGGAATAAAATGGAGTGTATATTCAAAAACCTGAGTGACTCGGGATTTCAGTTTGTGATCGAAATTCTCTTTAGAATTACCAAAAGTATTTATGTCACAAAATTAGCAAAATCTCTAATGTTATTGATTAAAGCCAAAAACCTTAAACTTTTTCAAAATATGATATCTTTTGATGACAGCTGAATTACAACTACTCATTCTTGATGGTAACTATGTTGTTTCTGTATTATAGGTACAAGTTATCTCCAACAATTTTGTGCCAGTGCAGTGAATGCTGTAGTCAGTCCTTTTGTTTTGTACGACATCTACGTTGATGGTGCTCACATGTTGACCAGGAACAATCCGTCTATTCCACAAAGTCATCTTAGATCAAATAATATACTCAATCCCCTGGTTCAAAAATGTCTTCAAATGTAAGTATTGGAAAACTTGGCCATCTACAATATTATTACAATTCATGTTAGCATAGACATGTAAAACTGATTCTTCGTTGTTTTTTTTTTGTTGTTTTTTTTTCTCAACTAGCCAAATGGTTAATTATTGATAAATCTTTAAAATCCTTCTAGTTGAGTACAGGTAAAGGTATTTTAACCTTAAACGATTTAGAGCACCATTAAGTCATAAGAATTATGATGTTTATATACAGGCATATTGACATTAAGAAGATTTTATATTAACCTTAAAAAACTTGCATTGTTTTGAATAATTTGCAAAAACTTTCAAATTGACTTGAAATTTGTGCATACATTAATGAAACAATTAGGATATAGGGATATATTGTTTAAAGTTCTGTGGAGCTGTACTTTTAAGTACCGGTAAATGTGATTTGATATGTCACATTTTCAATCAGTGAGATTTCATTCATGAAAGAAGAGGTTTTATCACTGTCACCTGCAAGTTGTTAGAAAACAGAAGTACTTGTATATATAATTCAACGTTCAAATGAAATGGAAGAATGCATTATTAAGTTATCAAGTTGTTTTCAAGGGATTAGTGTATAAGTGTCTTTGTTATCATTTTCAGGTTCATCCAATGTGCTCACCAGCGTATACACCATATCAATCCTTCTGAGTATGATGACTTCATAAATACCATCTGCAGTGCCAGAAATGCCTTTTGTCTCACGCCAGGTGGTATGGTTCAATTTCAAGAGTTTCTACAAAGTCTACGCAGGACCAAGTCATGCCGAAAGGATCTCTGGGCTAGGATAGTGAATGGGCTGGCTACTGGCAATGTTTGATGTCAATTTTATATAGACCATTGATAACAACAATATCAAGATATCTATTTCTCTATAAAAAAAAAAGCAAAAATACTGTTGTGTATGAAGATGTTTATATTTTTGTGGAAAAATAAGTCATCCTTTAATTCAGGATTTTACAAGAATTTACTAGAAAACATAATGTTATAATGTTATATTTTAATGAAACTTGAGTTTATTACACAAAACAACAGATGAGTTATCATATTTGTTTGAATATTTTCATTGTGTTGGTATTCTATCTCACATCTGTGTCAAAGTAATTCATCATCAGGTATCATACTCATTAACTATGTTTACTAATATGTTGATTATATGTTTAACTTGGTTATATACACATTTAGTTTTTACTATTGTGGTTAATGATTTCGTGTTGACTTTATACATTGTTCATTGATCATTTTGTTTGTTACTATATTGCTACTTTTTTACTGTTTATTGATGCTATCTTCCTACACCAGATATGTAGCACTTACATCAGTAATCCACTGATGCCAAATCACCTCAGTATTTAACAGGATGAGAGTGTTTGTTGTGACTGGATCTTATGATGAATTAAAAGCAAATTTCCGTGTGTTTTCAGTGGATATCTATGCACAATTTGAGTATTTTTTCGGAATGTGCTATTCTGAATATTTAAAACAGTGGCAGGTTGCAGATCATGGTTTTATTGAATCTCGGGTTACTCGTTCATTAGGTTTGGATCACATTTAGGCAATGTCACATTTCTCATAGTTTTCAAAAGAGCACTTTTTCTCAGAATGAGTTTTTATTATATAAGGTACATGGAGGAAGATGGGCTTATACCTTTATATTTAGAACACCATTACAAAACCATAAGACAATAGGTAATCAAAAATAATTTTAAACAAAATGAAAAATCTTCAAACAACACTTGGCCTCTACTGCAACGTTAGCAGGAAAAAATAAGTATTTCTGTACCTGTATATGATATAATTTTTCTTCAATTTAGGTAAATTAATATTTTCTTACCTGAACCGTGACCCTGTCCAAGATTTATTCATTGTTACAGGTCTATGAAGGAAACTTGATACACATAAGTTATCTTCAGATGTGGCATAGCCAATAGCCATTCTGGCATTACCTGTTCACAACTCTAATGCTTCAATAACAAAACATCTTTAGTATAAACTTCTGTTCTTTACAATGTAAGAGCAGTTTTAAAGTTTAATGCTGTATGTAATAAAATTGAGTGTATTGATTTGAAAACGGAAGAACAAAAAAACACCTACGTGCATCAAACGTAACTGATACCTTGCACTGTTTTAGAAGTGCGTATCACAAAAGATGAGTATCGTAAGCAACATTTGATAAACAAATAGGTTATTCCAATAATGTATCTATCCCATCTATGGACACCAAATTTTGTTTTGGGTTACCCCCTGTAGAATTCAATTGATAATTTGCTGAAAAGTAATAGCCTGGAAACTGAACTACAGGTAGAAGGGATTTATTTGTAGTCCTGGGGTCAAGTTTTTACTGGAATAGTCCAAGGCTACTCATATTCTGTCTTTAACCACTTTATCAAAGATGTAGTGTTGAGTAGATTTGTATGCTGTTTTGAATCTGTAGTGTATAATTGTGTACGGTAAGCATCCTAAACAGTAAATTATAAACTTCTGTACTGCATGCTTTTGTACATATTTTCTGTAGTATTGTTTATATCTAGAATATATTTATTCATTCATTTGTGATTTATTTAATTAACTTTTTGTTGTATTTCTTTCTATATTCATACAATGTCCATAATTGCCAATTTAAAGTTTTTCCATGATTTATAGATATCTATCTTATTGCATTCAATTTTCAGTCTTTTACGGTTTTATGTTAAGAATAAGGGGTATATATATTGATGAAACAGTCATAATTTAATTTATTGTTCAGTGAAATACACCCCATAAGTATTAGATGTCTTACAGTAGTAAAGTAAGCACTTCACATAACATCTAGTGATGAAGTCACCTCCCCAAGCCTTACAGAAGTCAACAATCCTTCTGTTACATATCAAATGTTCCAGGGCACATTGTACAGTGTGACATTGGCAATTTGTTAATATTACAGGTGCCATGGTAAATACATTTTATAAAATGTTAATATTTCTATATTTTATAGACTAGACGTTTAAGTAAACAGCGATTGCTGTCAAACTGTCTCCCAACTTGTCTGTTTTAGTGATGTGAAGGAATCCTGTAGGGTGAATAAAAGGGACTTTAAGGGGACAAACATAGATAAATTGACATTCACTGACTGTTTTAATGTAACATACTTGTATATGACCACATAAACCAAGCAATTTCAGCAGCACCTCCATCTATTTATACTTGTATATTTTTTATGTTGATTATCATTATTTCTAGAGAAAATTAAAAAAAAAGCTACTCTCATTCAAACTCTTGCATTATCTGATCATGTTATCGAAATGATGTAGGAAATGGTTATGTTTGTAAATTTTTAATATTGACAAAAAATATAATACTCTGAGCATGAAATATGTAAAAAGGACATATATACATGCAGAATGCATTATTGAATTAGTTGATCTTGAACATGTCTCTAAATAATTTTGTACTGCACACATATGTAAACGCTCACGTTAGGGTAACATGTCGTTGATTTACGGGAAAAAACTTTTTTTTTTGGCTTCCAGAAAAACTGCAAAGTATTTTGGATTCTGAAGTTAGTGATTTGGATGCATTAACCGTTGGAGTGTTTGGTTTTTGACTGTTTAATCTGTTAAGACTAGATTGTATGTGCATATGTGTTTATATTCATAGTCCCATCTATGTATGCTCGAAGCATATTTGGTAATGTTGAATGATTTTTTTTTCTCTTGACTTTGAATGAATAGAGTAGATGAGCCTTTTAAACAGGGAATTAAGCCAAGGGAGTTAATATGGAATTGAGCTAAGGATGATAAACAGCAGATACATTAATAATATTGAATCAATCCATCAGAATGAGTGGTTTTTAATCAATATTAAAAGAATAAGTGGCAGTTCTGTAGATAACAATGAGTTAAGGAAAAAGAGGAACAGCAGTTCTATAAACATGGAATAAATGCATTAAACAATAATTTGGTAAACATCTTTGAATTAAGTCAATTCATTTATAAATTGGAATTACTGTAAGCAAAGAGAATATGTAAATGGCAGTTCTATAAAAAAAATTGAATTTGACAAAGAGAAAAAGTGGCAGTTCTCATTGATATACTGGTAGAACTAAATCTATGTCAGTGATATGTAAAATTGTTATCAAAAGACCAAGTAGTGACAATGTGTGATGGAACCCATTGCCTGTGTTGATTGTAAAATGTTCACATACTAAGCTGCAGAAGTTGCATATACATACATTTTGGTAATGAGTTGGTAGTACAGGGGTTATAACACAGATGTTTAGGAAGCTAAACCGGATAAAAAGTAAATACATGTAGTAAAAAAACTTCATTCTTTTTGAGAATTACAAATGGAAAATGCAATGTAAGTTAAATTTGGTTAAACAACTGGACACGTTTGTATATTGGTAGTATGGATACCATTCAATAGTTATTTCCATTTAATATTGCTTGTGCCTTCATATCTCAATACATTACATACTACATTTGTCATCCTAAGCAATGCTTCAAGTTTGTGCTCATCTTCTTCCTTATTTTGCTCATGTTATTTGCTGAAAATGTGGTCAACTTGTGTCAGCGGAAAATGCTTATTTTGAGACTCCAACATTAGTTTTTGTGTGTGTTGTGTGTCCTAGTCACCCTGGTAAGCGATCTCTTGTTCAGTGGTAAATACCAGAGGTATTTCATTCATGTCAATTTAGTAGCGATCAGAAAGATGAAATAGGATCAAAATTATCACGTTTAGCTTTTTATCAAAATGATTTAGTATTAATATGTAATATTTCAAATTGATTGCATAATTTGTGTTAAACTATGTCAATTTAATTTTGATCTCATTTATATATAGAAGTATATATAAGCAACGAACAGGTATCAACATGGAATGAATCATGATTTTTTTTCCCCCCAATGAAATGACATTTTTGTTTCTTCCTAATAATTAGTGGGAATGACATAGGATTTAGATTGATAGATTTTAGAAATGTTTTAAAATAATATGTATAATAAGATGATGATTCCATATTGTCTACATTTGAGGGATAAGTTTTGAGGGAGAATTGTGGGTAAAGTGAGATTAAATACTGACAGGGAACATTTGAAAACACTTTATGTTGACAATCCTGCTTGTAATATCATATCGGATAGAGGTATCATCTTCGTACTGAAATTGTCGCTCAATTCTTCATAATATTATCATGTTCAGACGTAACATCACAAGTCTCTCAATGATACTTGAATTTGTTTTTTTTTTTGGGGTTTCTTTTTATTCAATCAATTTAGATAGTTATTCATTTTACACAGGGAAAGTAAAGATAATATCATTTTTTTTCAGTTTATTGAGAAGAACTTGTATCTGCAAGTTCATATGTTTCTTCCCATGTTAAGATGTAATGTTTCATTTGGTAAGAATTATTTATGCAATCAATTTGATCTTCAGAAGGGCATTCGTCAGTAGCCTGAACTTTGATGGTAGTTGACCACTGTCATATGACCAGTTAATGGACACCCCCCCTCGCCCATAGTAAGTGTAGATGCATGACTTATGCAATGAAGCAGCAGTGTAAATGTGTACATCCCTATTAGTCACTACATCAGAGCAACTGGTCACCACAGAGTATAGTGTTTTAAAGCATCCCACCATCTGTAGCAGTTTTAGCATCCACTCATGTCATCCAAACATACTGTAATAAAGTAATGTATTAGATATACATGTCTTATGTTGTATATCCGCATCGTCAATAATCCTACACAATTTATCTAGCACAAGAAATACTGTACAGTATGCAATATGCTTTGATGATTAAAGAAAAATATTTATTTGAATGTGATACCTTACATCTGTTGCCAGCGCAAGTGGCTTTCAGTCGTCTAAGTTGTTTTTGTTGTTGAAAGATCGCAAAAAAAAAATCCAAAAATCGGTGCAGTTGTAAAGTCGACTTGGCAGTCTGACCCAATGATTTAGCAGTATAAAGATAAAACTGGGCAACTTACCAAATACTTTCCTGGCTTTGGAGAATTTTTGCTTGAAGGGAATGGAGCAAATTCCCACTGGTTATTGTGTTTGTAGATGTCAGTATATTCTACGTAATATCGGTAGAAAAGATTGAAGCGCTATCTGATAAACATACCATTATTTTCGAGGAGAATTTACCCTACGCCATGCTGCTGAATCTTCTACTTGTACCCCAAAGTGTTATGTATGAGTTCTGTGTTAAATTTTACTGAATACAAATGATATTCTGTTAAATTGAAACTTGGAAGGAAAATGTAAATAGCTGTGGAACACATTCTTTGAGCAGACACATTCTGACAACAGTATTTCCTTATTGTGTTGTGCAGTATTAGATTTTGTCTGTTTTATGAAAAGTTGTTATATGATCAACCACAGCGAATATCTTCACAACCTGAAGTTGCGTTCAAAACAACCACGCTAAACTACAACAGTTGAGCCCTGCCTCTCGAGTGTGACGACTGATAGATCCGTGAGAACTGCATGTTAGAACTTTCTTGTCACATTTAGTGGTACGTGATTTGCAGTAGATTAAAATCTAAATCTATCTATCTGTTCAGCTAACAAGGAAAGATGTCAGATTATGTAAAACAAATCTTTTGCCAAATCTCAAAAAAAGAGCATGGTATGAACAGCTGATAGCTCAGCACCAGTAGCCAGAGTTTGGCTATCAGACAATCATATTATGTTATTATTATATTTATACGCCAAAAACTTGATATCAAAAATAGAAACTCATTCCCGAAATACATACCCAAAGACCCAACAAGCTGTCAACGGACAGTTCTGATGTTCAACAGCAGGGTCAAAATTTACATGATTGCCAGGTAATTTTAAATTCTACAACTAAAAAAACATTTCAATACATTCAATTCTACTTCTAGTGAAGAGTTATGAAACACCTATACAATAACTTCAGAAAAATCAACAGGCCCAGGTATCTAGTACTGTAATGATTCAATGAAGAGCTAATATTTAGCAACATCAAAATCATTACTAATGAAGTCTATGAAGACCAGAAGTGGATTTAATTATCTTACATTTACAATTTAAATAAGAAACATAAATACTCCTGAGAGGATTATCAAAAAATACTGGTTTGATGTTTTATACAGAAATATTGCCAGATCAAACTTGCCTATTTTTCACTGCGATAGAATTATATCATCTATATGTTGAGATTTAAATGTCACATAAAAAGTTTGTCAACATGTGAAAGAACAATCTCTTTAAACAATTACTTCATGACCACAACAGTGGTAAAAATGTCCTGTAGAGTCATTTTCATGATTGTTCAAGTGATGTTCTATTATATTAATCAAATGTGTTTGTCACTTCTTGTCACACACGGAAGTAACTTTAACTGAGCACGCTGTCTTTCTTCTTGACCACCTCTCTACGAATTTATACGAGTTATGGTAAACTCACTCGTAACGTAGGCCTATAATCCTGGCCACTTGAGAATGAAAACACCGTCAGTTTCCTGTTCGTTCCTTTTGTAACAATATTAAGTATTTTGTTTCTGATTCGGTGCATTGTGTCTGTGATACCAGGCATCAATACCAGTGAGGTTTTTGATGAGATAGACTAGTCTAAGTGTATGAATAATCAGTTGATTTAAATCCTAGAAAACAAGCCTTTAAACGAGTAGAGGAGCCGACTGTGAAATGGTGTCTTCTCCTTTTTTACCTGTTGGTCACCTGGCCCAAAAAAGGATTGGCGTGTGAACTTCTTGCCCAGTTCACTTGAGAGCCAGTCCTGTACATCGTCCAGTCCTTCACCTGTTGTAGCTACCACTGGAAATACCTTATATATATTGGAACACTGATCCAAGTCCAGGCCGGAATGAACCTCCTTTAAAGTCAACGGTGTCCCTTCTCCTGTGTTTCTTTGGTTCACGAGCACTGCGACCACAGCATCTTTGCCTCCTCTGTGCTCGACGTAACTGAATCCGAGTTTGGCATTTGTCATGTCATCGTCTGGTGGTCCACGATCGTTCACCACATAGATGACGGCATCTATGTTACGATAGTAGCTCGATAGTCCACCTGCACAGCGTGATCCGAATAAATTCCACGCGACTGCCTGTATCCTGTCTCCTGACAGAGCTTCGAATTTTCCGAAATCCTCATCAATAATCCTGTCTTTGATCTCCCCTAAGTCGAGATTGTGTAGAATAGATGTTTTACCTGTCCCTTCGGGCCCTGTTATAAGAACTGTCACTTTTCTAGACAACCAAAGTTTACCCAAGGCTTTCCCCATGGTCTACATTATTGCCGGTACCTACGCGCTTGTATCTAGTAGTTTGTCTATTAGACGTATCAGATTTTTGGCCATCCGACTAGCTCTCTGTTTACAGTAAACGTCATATCTATTTTTAGTTCCGGTTAAGAATTATTTACATTTTTGTCACATCTGTCAATCATGGACGTTTGTCTGAAGTCAAGCTAGTTTGATTTCTTGCATTCACACATGTATTTTGAAAACAAAAACGTAACAAAATAAAATATCCAATTATTCCCAATCAATTAATTTAGTGTGTGTTGAGGTTATCTCCCCTGAAACTACTTTCCTTTCGTTATATTTGGGATGAATATGTTTTTCTTCTAATTCATCCTGTGTACGTGAGTTAAGTCAGCCATAAAAGTGCTTGCACGTGCACGTTTTTACTTTACCATCCTATTTCAAAAGCTGATCTGCTATTTCTTAAAAAAAAAAACACTATGAACTATAAAATTAAAATTAGCTGACAACCAAAGGATAGTAAATCCGGTATATATATTATGTATTTTGATCACTGTACAGGTCTGTCTACCCTAACGGCGTAGGAAGGTGGGGACAACAAATAATTTCAACAATTATTTTGGTAAAATAAATATGTATTTACTTGTTTCCATTTATGAACAGAATTTACACATTGCATCGTTGTAGCCGGCATTACTATTGCTACTCAGTTAAAACTATTGTATGCGATTTATCATGATTTTTCCTTGCGTAAACAATTAACATAACCTGCATGTATAATCATTCAACGAACTGTGCCTGATTGCCAGTGTTCAGAAATCCCGGGAAATTATCTCCTATCACTGTCTATTCCATATATACTTTTGGTTGTCGCAAACATTTTTAGGGATTTTTAAGCAAGATATAGTTCAGATTATTGAATAATTCAGCTAATATAAGGTTCTATTGTTTCTTCAGGAGGGACACATCAACATTAAGGGAACTGTGACGTTTTATATACACGTTCCAAATTCACCTTAGGAAACTTTGCTTATATTGTATTTGCATCATACAGTGAATTTTGAATTACCTTGATCAAATTTTGGTTGAATAGGTAGCAATAATTTCCAAATTGACTTGAAATTTCGTACATACAAAATTTTTTTAAAATACATAATCTTAAGATTTTATCATATGTTTCTCATTCATTCAACCAAAATTGCTGTGTAAATGGAGTGTTGAGGATATATTGTTTAAAGTTCTGTGGAGCTGTACTTTTAAATATAATTTATTTGATATGTCCCGCTTACAATCAGCGAGATTCATTTATACATTGAAGAAGAGGTTTAATCAATGTTATCTGAGAGTTGCTAGAAAACAGAAGTACCTTATATATAATTCAACGTTCAAATGAAATGGAAGAATGCATTATTAGGTTATCAAGTTGTTTTTAAGGGATTAGCGTATAAGTGTCTTTGTTATCATTTTCAGGTTCATCCAATGTGCTCACCAGCGTATACACCCTATCAATCCTTCCGAGTATGATGACTTCATAGATACTATCTACAGTGCTAGATGTTTTCACTGTAATTCAGCACGTGGTCTTCCTTCTAGGTCCATTTCTGTCCGACCTTTTGAGTTGTGTTAAACTCGCGCACGGTATAGACTTATAATCCCGTCTACTTGAGGATGAAATCATCGTTGAGTTCATTAAAAAAGAAAACAAACAACTTTTCGTTGTCTTTTCCTGCTCGTTCCTTTTTGAATAATATTAAATATTTTGGG